ACACTGGTATTGTTTTGAGACCTTACACAGACAGTAGTAGCAAAGCATGGGATGTTTTACGGGTGAGGTTGAACAGTTTTCAGAGACCGAGACTGCAAAAAATAATCTAAAAATTTACCAATCTGAAATGGAAGAGCAATAAAACAGTGATCGATTATTTGACTAGAATAGAGGAGATTCAGTATAACAAAGAACGAGTTAACGAAGGAGTGAGTGAAAAAACGTTAATTTGAATTGCTTTTGAAGCGGGTCTAAAGCATTTTTTTTTCTATAGCCAAGTTTAGTAGAGATAAGAAAATTTAAATGAGTTGGAAAAAGATTCAGTGAATTTTGGTAGCGAGAGACTAATCTTTGAAAAAGAGCATGCTTTCAATAGCGATAACAGAGTTTGTTTTAAGTGTTAAAAAACATGTGTCGAAACAGTGCAGAGAAAACTTAGGCAGGAGACAAGATAGTGAAGACAAAGCTCAAAAATTCAGTGCTATGAAAGCAAGGAGTTTCGACCTTTTGCAGAGTTTTGCCAGGCAAAGAAAAAATTCATAAGTAAGGCCAAACGAGAACAACAACAAAATCTAGCAGAGGCTCATTTTGTTTTTCGTGGAGTTTCACCGGGCGAGGGCTTAGTCGTAGACTCTGGAGCCACCAATAAACTGGGGATCGAGAGATAATTGTTATTTTAGATGAGTACTTCAAAGGATCGATTAGGGATGCAAATCTATCTGAGTCAAAGTTTTAGGGAAAGGTGAAGTTAGAATTGGAGTGAAAGAGGAGAAAAGCGAATTTAAGATGATTGAGCTGAAGGATACTTTGTACTTTCCTGAAATTCAGGAAACTTGATAAGTGTACCAAAAATGAAAAAAGCAGGAGCAAAAGTTGTTTTTGGTAAGAATTCGTTTGTTTGTCAGAGAAATGGTTAAGCGTTTTATGAGGAGATTTTGTAGGAAAAGACGAGTGTCTTGTAGTTAGCGCAATTAAACATTGGCACTGTAGGATGACTCATAATAACTACAAAGACTTTAGTCAATCTTAGCAACATGTTGAAGTCATGAAGATAAGTGATTTTAAAATTGAGAATTGTGAAACTTCTGACTTGAATCAAGCAGAAAAGAAGCCAGTCCCGAAAGATTGTTACACCAGGTAGACCAGGTCACTAGATATTGTTCAAACAGTTTTTTAAGTCCTATTGACCCGACAGAAATAGATGTTCTTGGTGTGCTACAGATTTTGTGGACTGTTGTTCTAGATATCTAAAAATATATTCGACGAAGACGAGAGATGAGGCAACCGAAAAAATGGAAAAATTCTTAGCAGGTGTAGGAGTCAACCAAACTGTAGTTCCAAATGTCGCAATAGATTACATTGGTCAGGAGTTTAGGCAAGTTTGTAAGAAACAGAAAGAATAGACTGGAAATGTGGGCTCATTATACCCATCAAGAGAACGGAAAAATAGAAAAGATGTGGGAACGGTTACTCCAATAGCTCGCTGCATAAATTTTGATGTCAATTTTTCGAAAACCAATTGGCCTTATGCTATTATTCTGGCTACTAATCTCAAAAACATGTGCTTTCTATCTTCTATAGACAAAACACCCTACGAGTCTATGCATGGAGAAAACGCAACCTTTGTTTGGTGATAGTTTTTGAATGTGTAGCATATAGTTTTATGGAAAAATAGTTTCGCTAAAAACTAGACAAAAAATCCTAAAAGGAGAATTTTCTTGAGGACATCAAAAAATTATTGAAAATTATCTGATAGGAATTAAGAATTAAGGAAAACTCAAAGTGCAAAAATCTGGAAATGTTAGTTTCGACGAATCTAAGTTTTATTTTGGGAAACTGTGATGAGGAAGAAAAAGTAGGCGATGAATCATTTTTTGGAGAACTTGTCAAAAATATAACAAAAATTACTAAGAACGCTTTAACAGACCAGGACTGTCAAAAAACAATGAAAAAAAAGTTTGATTCATCAGATAAAAACAAAGTTTTGAAAATAGTTAGAAACGGAGAAGAGAAGCCTATAAGCAGGTTTGAAGTACGGACCTATTGGTGAGTTTTCATGGTTTAAAGCTAGACATATTGCTAAAAATTTTAACCAAGTTGAGGGAGGGGATTTTCACGAAACACGTATTCGCACACAACTAAGATGTCGACAATAAGAATAGTTGAATAGTTCATTTAGACAGTTAGACAATAAAATTGCATATTTGAATGCCAAATTAGATGAAGATATTTTTATTAAGCAACCTGAAGGGTTCGAGAAGTTTGATGAAGAAGCAAAACTTTTAGTTTTTCTCCTGAAGAAAAGTCTTTATGGAGCAAAGCCGTCCGGTAGAAACTGGCATAGAACCCTGAAAAGGAACCTTGAGGAGTTAGGTTTTGAAAATTCAGTTTTCGATGTGTGCTCGTGAGGAAAATTGAGGGAGAGATAGAAGGTTTAATTTGCTTCTGGTTCTATGATTTAGGGGTTTGTGGTGCGGGCAAAATTTTTTTTGCTGGTTTGAAATCAAAATCTCCGAAAAATTTGAGATGAACGAGATAAGTGATCTGAAATGGTTCAGAGGAACAAAAATTGATATCTCAGAAAACGAAATCAAGATAAATCAGGAGATATATATTTGAAAAATTTTATCAAGGTGTAAGATGAGCAAAGCAAAACCGATAAGAACCCCTTTTAGTGAAAACGAGAAACTGACAAAAAAAATTATCAGTTAGAAGGTAGCGTATAACAAGCAAATATGAAGAAAAGTGACTATCGAGGACTTGTTGGTTGGCTAAATTACTTAGCTTCAGCAAGTGTACGCGACACTTGCTTTCCAGCAAACCTTCTGAGTTCTTGTGTGGAAAACCCAAGTAAAAAGCTTTGGAAAGCCGGGAAAAAATGTCTAAGGTATCTGCTAGGAACAAAAAAATTATCTTTAGAAAATTGAAGGGATAAGGCGTTGAATCTTGTTAGCTATCCGGATGCGGATTGGGCTGGAAATATAGAAAACAGGGGAAATAGTTCAGAATATTGACTCAAGCTCCGTGAAAACTCAGGTAAAATAAGTTGGACCAGCGTTTTGTATGAACTTCAACAGCCGAAGCAGAGCATAATGCTTTGGTCGAGACAGTAAAATAAAAAATTCTTTTACATGGCATACTTAGAGACATAGGCATAATATCTAATGGGCCTTTGGAAGTGTTCGTTGATAACCAAGCTTGTATTGCCCTAAGTAGACATTCAATGAACCACGTAAAGCGAAGTATTTTGTCAAGAAGCACACTTTTTTCGAGAGTTAGTTGAACAGAAGAATACGACATAATTGGCGACATTGGCGTTTTGTCTAACTGATGAAAAAAACTAAAATCATCGTTCCGCTGTACGACTTTTTACCCGAATTTTGCAAATTAAATTGCACGATTTTAGTTCTAAAAAATTATGCAAACTGTGTCTTGTTCAATTTTCGAATTCGTTAACCTAATTTCAATTTTTATTCTTTATGTCCGGGTTATTCAAATCAGCACTGTTGTTCATGCCAACTTGGGGGCAATATTCAAGACCTTGAGCAAGATATCGCTTAAAAATGGTGGCTTTAGATTGATTAGGTTTTTATATATGGCTTTTTCGTGCTCAAATGAGAAAAAAACGTCAGCCCGTCGAATTGAGCAGTTAACTGACTTCATTCAAATTTGTTGACCGAAAAAGATTTGACAATAACTCGGCATTAATTATAAATCAACCGGATAAAATGAACTTAAATTTTTTAAAACTCATTCCTCTGAAATTTGGTTTTTGTTGGACAAAATTTTTGAGGACAAATTGAGAAAAAAAGTTATGTGAAAATTAACCAACCTTTTTTAGTTGCGGAAATTAAAAGCAAAACAACTCATTTATTTTTGATCATTCGATTTGGACCAAAACAAAGGAGGCATACATGCTCAACTGATTGAAGAATAACTACGATTCAGCCTGTTTATCAACTTTTTTTTGAACCAATTAATTGACCCATTTTAAGGATATCATTTTAGTCTAAGACTCCGCAAATTAAATTGCATCATAAAAAATTGGTAAAATTCTGTTTTTTGCTCAAAGTTAATTGAATTTGAGAGAAAAGTTAGAAATTTTAGTTCGATTGCAATTATTTCGGCTATTTTATAAAATTCTTCTTGAAACTTTTCCAGCTCAAATTGCAAGGAAAATGCAATTAACCAAATAAACATGCAAGGTTCGGGCATTGATTCCAGCAAGTTTGTGTGGGTGATTTACCGTATATATTTGATCTGAATTATTAGTAGAACTATCAACCAAATCTCATTAATTTACTCCTTAATAATTATTCATTTGTCGCTGCGATAATCTTGATTCTACGAAAAAATTTTCTGGCTTCCATTTTGCCGATGGTTGAAATTGATTATACCGAAATTGAACTCTTTTGCTTGGAATTTCATTTTTTGTTTTTATGCAGTTCAGAAAACGCAGTTCCGAAAATGCTAATATTTTGACGCAGTTTCGAAAACAAAGTTTGTCTGAATCCCAGACATTTCAAATGACTGTAGCTCTAAAGCATCAAATCTAATTAAGTTCTAAAAAGCTAAGGAACTATCTCTAAGGAACTAACCAAAATCATTGAAGAACAAGCAAAACTCATATTGATTAAATTTTCAATCGGAAGTCAAACGAACGCTAAAATGAAGTAAATATTTTTGAGAAATTCAGTTTTCAAGTCAATTTAATTTAAGACTATTTATCCACGGGGGAAAGGACCAACACAATAGCTGTACAGCTCATCACGGCGAACCGCTGTTGAGCCTCTGTTTAAGAACTACATGCAATTTTTTTGGTTATTTTTCTGGGCTGGGTAATGTTGCTTCACCCTCAAGCAACGCGCACGGATCATGGTGGGCCTCGAACATCCGAGCTTTCGACTGAGAGGCGGAGACGTAACCACTTCACCACCGCTCAATGAAGTCAAACAGTCAGGTTTCTAATCTTTTCTTTTCTAACATTTTAAGTGGTCAAATAATAAAATGTTTTCAGATGATTCTAAAAGGTAACATATATCTTGAATACAACATAGATTAAATATACATTTTTTGATATTTCAAATATGTTCCTCTTAGCCATTGTCGCGTTCAGTTCAGTCCTAACTCTCAAACTGATCGAACTCGACTCCTGCAGTCTCGTGTTTGCTGTCACGTCATTCATTCACTACCCTCACTGGAATTGAAACTGGGTCACCCACCTTTTTGTTAGTCGCCTGCTCCAGAATTGTGATCATTGTATCAGCTTCAAAATTGCTCCATTTGTCGAGGACTGGTTGGAAATTTTCTTCAACTATACTTGCAACGGTGCCACAATAGGAGCCAATTTTCAGACCGACGAGCATGATATCACATTGTGACACTGATACTTCATCTAAAACGCAACCCGGGCTGAGATACCGCTCAGAAACCACTCAAAAACTTGAGCGGTTTGAGAAACTTTAGCGTTCTTTTTTCCAATCAGATGGCTCAAAAACCGCTTAATCATTTGCAGAAAACTGCTCTGAAACTGTTCAAGTTGCTTCTTCGAAAGCAAGATTTTGAGCCTAATTATTTAAAACGAACCGCTCACATCGATTAATTAATGCTAAGAAACAACTCGGGAAGCACAAAATGACTTAATTTTATAATACAGAGTGACGGTACAAACGTTTTGGGTTTCATAAATTCAAGCAGGAAACATTAAGATTTTTTTCTGATATTCTGTTAAAAACTAGCCAAACTAACCAATCACCCAGTTTTTTGGTTTGAATGAGAGTGTGAGGTTGAAGCCAAACTGAAGTTCTGGTTGATTGTCAATAGGTACAATTTTTGGATCGATGGCACTAAACAAAAATGAATATTGTCGAATATCCCTCATGTGATTTCTAGTAAAGAATTTCCACCTTCTAAAACAGACTTCAACAATTCAACTAAATCCAATTTTCTTACCTCACAACGAAGTTTGGATAAAGATAACATCGCGCCACATTCACCCCTCCCCCTCCCCTCAGACCAACAGTTTTAAATTGAAATTGCTCAGCGCTTTTTGTAAAAAGCAGCTGGTTGTTTCCGATGCTTCTGATTGACCAAAATTTCCAATTTAATATCAAGTTATCATCCCACCTATCACTTAAAGGCTTTGAGGGGAGGTGGTGGTTTTTGCCATGGTGCCGTATTTCATCCCTTTGGCATCCCTTTTTTTCCAGTCGCTTTTTCCAGAACGGAAACTATAGTATCTGCTTTAAATTTTTTCTATGTATCGAGGAATGCCTGAAAGTTTTCTTCAATCTAAATTGCAATAGTGACAATAAGAAACATTTTTTGAAAAGACATTTCTGCCTCTTTTTATGAAAATTTTAAGTGTTTTTTTTTAATCAAAATTTCATTTGAGCTAGTCTCGAAGCGACCTTCCTTACGTGTGATCAGTTTATGTGTGATGATGTTTACGTTGCATTATTGCGAGTTGCGCAAAATCGTTTACTTGATACAATAATCTGATTCTGAGAACCTTGTTGTATTCAAAACGGCGTATTCAAAACTTCTGTTATATCGATACAGTGTCCTCTATATTATCCATCTAAATAAATTACGTATTAATTTACTATTTTCTTTTAATCCGTCAGTTTCGAGTCAATAATGGGCGAGTTATACCATAGCACAGTCAGCAATTCCTGTGAGTGAAGACAGGACTGAATTGTTAGATATTCTGCCTTTTTGGACGAAACACTCAGTTGAATCCTCATTCTTATGGGAAACTTGTATCGTCCAATTCCTCCTGGTCGCCAAATTAAAGGTCAATATCATCCTCAACGACCGTCTTGTAGACCCAGCGACTATTGCCGACGAACCACCTTCAAAACCGGAAACACCTGCAGTTACTCGTCTTTGCCGCGATCAAGCAGCCGTTAGAATAGCAGATGATTGGAACGCGGCGAGAAGACGCAAATACCCTCGAACTGACCAGAACTGGTTCTACCACGAGGCAGAAGCTCACATGAAATCACGCTTCTTTTTCTCCTTGGGGAATGAAAGAAGACGGCTATTCACATACTCTATTCCTCATCTCAACCTTAATACCTGTTCGTTCAAGTTTTGCCCAGCTGTTAAGCGCTATTCATGACCGACCGTGATTACGCGGTAGAAGGGTTAAACAGTATAACACGCATTTCATGCTAGAATTCGATAGATTTTAATCTTTTCTAGGTCGGCTGTCCCTGTAAGCGTCATTTGGCAATTGGTCCCAGGCTCTGAAAAGAGAAATTTTGAATGATTTTTCATTGGATGGGTTCGCGATATTGAGGTTCGAAAGCAACTGATTAAGGCCAAGGATGATCTCGATAACACATTGAAATTAGCACTAGCGTTTGACAAAAGGCAAGCAATTTGGCCGAATTTCAGAGGCTACTACCTCACAATAACCAGTGTTCTGGTATCACTGAAATCAAACAAGAGCCAAAATTCTTGATTCAGTCAGGAAATAGTCGCTACACTGCGAAAGGAGGATACAAAAGTCATTCCTCAAAGCAAGGACAGGGCAGCAGTAGGAAGTCATCCTAATTCTGGGGGAAACCTTTCTCCCTGAAACACCGAAAGTCGTGTCCCGCGAGAGAGGTCACCTGTAACCTCTGTAGGAAACGTGGGCATTTTGCAAAGTGTGGCAATTCATCTTTTAAACAAAGAGTAAATGTAGTGCGCGAGGGGAATCTGGAAGCATTACCACCTACTCGATCAGAATAACTTGTGATCGAGTAGGTGGTAAAAAACAGCAACATTGAATTCCATGTAGTCCAATTCTTGAAAGCCAAAGTTCTGCGAATTCAACTGAGATCCAATCAGAATTTTTGTATGCAACTGTCGATAATGGGAGCTCGTTTTCGTTCCTTAATCAGCTTACCGCCAATATTCTGCTTCAGAAGAACCCCAATACCATCATCAAGGGTGCTGCGAGATTCTCTTTGAACACAACGCATGTGGACCACAAAGCAATGGGACCCCAGCAAGTTTTACGGAACAAATTTTACACCCATTTTGTCCAACGGAAGGGAGGTAGATTCCGCGTTGTTCCTGTTCTTGGAAAACACAACCCGATATCTGCAAGGACTGCAGTTACATGCGGCTCATGGCATAGTCTCTACCCAAACAAAACCGGTAGAAATTGACTCAATGACGATCAATGAGCTGTCAGATCCGACCTCAGAGTTCTGGAGAGATGATTTACTTAAGAGGTATGCCCATGTTGTCAATAGGCTGGTTAGGTCGATGAATTGTAAAGTTTTCTCTTAGTTGAAGGTCCATCTAATTCCCAGTCAAAATAAAGAGGGAAAATCCCATTCCACATTCACGATCGAGTAGGAAAAAAAACCTGGCCAAAAACAAACATAAAAGGAAACATGAAAATTGCACGATTAATCATTTCTAACTGCAAAGACGGACTATTCAAAAAATTAGCTTTAAACGCGAAACGCATGAATGCCTGGATCTGGAAAAACGTACCAGATGCCAAATATGCATGAGTTTATTATCCCGGCTACTCAAATCGCGACTAATGCGAAAAATGTGGTTTATATCTCTAGGCCTCAAATATGGCTTCAGTCAACTACCTCTTTCTGATTTCACTAGCAGTCATTGTATTTTCAGCATCCTATGCAGAGAGACCACTTGAACTTATAGAATCAAGAACGGGTTATACTACTCACAGACATGCTTTGTAAATTCTAAAAGGCGATGTACTGCATTTTCCAGGGACTAAAAAGAGTGATTTGCGACATGGATGACATTCTGGTGGCGACTAAAGAAGAAGCGTCGAACCACAACGCGCAAGTTGAGAAAGTGAGGCAGAAGCTAGACGAAGAAGGCTGGGCAATAAAAAATAGTAGGTGCAATTTTTTTGTGAACCACTTTATCTAGCTAGGATATGAGGTTGAGGAAAATGGTTACGCGCGAAGTTTTCAAAAACTCAGTCTATCAAATTGTTGAGAACTCCTCGAACATTGAAACAATTACGATCTTCTATGGTGACTTTAAACTACTTGCAAAGGTTTATATCGGACTTGTATAAGTTTACTGCAAACTTTAGCCCCTCACTAAATAGTTGTAATGAGCAACCTTTCTGTAGGAAGAAGAACGAAACGTTGCATTCTACAAAATATAATATATGACTGCCAGAAACCCAAAAATATTTCATGATGATTCTTCCATGAAATCACAAACTAAGTGCAATGGAAGTCATTGTGGTCAAGGGGCGTGCCCTGAACAAAAATTCGATTGCATTTGCGTCGAAAAACTTAGAAAACACGGAAGCAATGTATAGTACGAATGAACTCGAATTTTTAAAGCAACTATGTGGTCGTGCGAAAATTTTAAACCGTAAATTTTGGGTAAAAGATTCGAAGTCTCAATAGACCCCAAGGCTACTTTTTCCGCACTCAATGAACATTAGGGTAAAAAAACAAGTTACAAACGTTCCAGGAGTGACATGGAGTATTGTGGACTATATCTATAAACATCCCACATTCCACTTTTGCAGCCCCTGTACCTTTCAAACACCATGAGTTCATCGTCGTTGAATCAATTCAGGCTTTCAACAAAGCCGTCACTCGTTTCGCAACGATTGGTAGATAGGAGGATGAAAGCATATCAAAATTTTCAGGGGGTTGATAATCTAAATCTGGGCGGCCATATGTTAATCGCAAGATCTAAATAATCAAAGACGAGATATCATAATTTCATCTTCCGCGGATCGCCGATAGAGGGTGAAAAGATCCAGCTCTCGACAATTCAGGTTGTGATATGCGTTTAACTCGCTATATCTTCAGTCGGTAGAAGGCAGCGAGTTATGCGGGATATATGCCAATCAATCATAAGCTGGTGTGCATATTGCGAGTCGCATATACCGAAAAACGAATCGAAACCCTAGTCTTTGACCTGATCTTGTCAAATTCACTAGCTCTCCTTCATCTCCCATAATGAATTTAATTAAAAGTAAAATTGGTTTTTGTTATAAATTTCTTGGGCAACAAAATTTGCAGTTTTGTTTTGAAACGCTCTCATAGAACTCTTCTTTTTTAATTTGATGAAACCCATTGAGGTCTACATCGATCTCAAATTCAAATCGAGGCAAAAGATGGACCAAATCAGAAATCAAAGATTTGTACTGGAAATTGCTTTGGTGCAAGATATCACTTTGTGGCAGCACTAATAACCGGAAGTAGGGGTTAGCTAAGTTCTTAGAGAGCCAAAATAGAAAATAATTAACCTAAAAGTTCTGAAATCAGGTGACCGCAAAGGTCGGTGTTTATGCGATCAACAACGGGAAACCCTAAGTTAACCGCAGTAAACAAGCATTTGTGATGCTTTCAGGTCTCTTTGACGCTGAGCTACTAGCAGAGCTGACGGAGGAAAATCACTTTGTGCGCCCAATGAAGAAAACCATTGTCAGCAAGGATATTTCTTCATTCAATAAGATGATCGCTTACATGGTCCAATTTTGGACAAAGATGGCGGTGGTCGTCGATTGCGTGATCGTCGACAAAAAGCTGACAATACCACATCAATTGCGTTCGGCTATGCTGGCGCGGTTACAGCGCTTGCACCCAGGAAAAGAAACTAGGATGTAGGCAGGCCTCCGAATACATCAAGTCGCTTTTCCTTAACCGATATGCGTAAAATGTAGAGAGTGTACTCGCTTCGAACTTTTTTTATGTGTTTATTCCTTCATAGCCGCTACTGGAGCTGTCGGATCCAAATCAAGAGTTGCAACCTGATTTTGCGGGTCCAATTGTTGACGAAAACGATTAAAAAAATCTTCATTTTAGGCGGTCAATCGGTTTTTTAAGTCTCCTTCTGTCGTATCAACAAAAACCCCCGGCGCGAATAATGTAATGAAACTCTTAGCATCGTGCATTTGCATTAATGAATTACCGCACTCGATTTGAACTGGCCATAGTTCAGGTTTTAAAAGTGAAGTCGTCAGGCAAGGGAAAAGTATATCGGAAAAATCATATCTGTTTAAAGTTCAACGCCAATTTTTTTTGAAATTCCAGCCAGTCAGGGTATTTTGCGCCAGAGAAACGCTCCTGCTCAGAAAAAGATCGCTCCGAAACAACAGTCGTCTTTTCCAGTACCGGGTGCTCAACATTATGCCTCCTTTAGTTCAAGTTCCGCGGCGTTGACTTGACCGCGGTGTATTTAAGTGAGGGTTCAGTTGTAAGCCTTCCCAATTCTGCGACACAAGCGTCGTCATCAACACCGGTTAACGAGCAGCGGCAACCTCCAGTCATTTTTCAGCACCCCCGAAAAGAAGCTGAAGGCATGGGAGGTGACCCATTTTCCGGAAAAGGCAATCGTGAGGCCAATCGAACCCACTCCACAGAAGACCGCAGCGTCTAGCTCACAAGCAACAAGCTCGTGCATGATGGTGACTCAGTCTGGAGGCGAGGTCGGAAATGGGGATGCCTCAGCAATCAATGTAGTTCCTCCCACTCAGACCCCTGATAAATCTAAGGTGACCAGTTCCACGGCACGAACCAAAAAAAATTACAAGATTTTGTGGCGATCCTCTTCGCCACTCTGTTAAATTAGTGGAATATGAGGCGTTAGTGCAAGAAGCCTCTGTCGCCCAGCCCAGTTCAATCCCAGTTTCTCCTCGAAAAAATAATAAAGTCATAAGACAACAGCGAGGCTTGATCAAGCAAGATCAAGTGACCCTTTTCAAACGAGTAAAACAAGCAGAGATCCGAAACCAGCAGAGCAAAAGAATAGAAAAAAAATGCAATACTTTTTCTCAGCGCTTTCAGAAGCTGACTAAGTCAATGCGGGTCCTGTTAGTAGCTATTTTCATCTTGCTCTGATGCTAAAGTTAAAACCTTATGCTAGAGATGAAACCTTCCTACCGCGGGGAATGTCGTGAGGCGACCTTCGCTACCGCTTTTAGTCTACATATATCTATATTTCTAGGTCTAGGATTATGTGCTAACGTGCTCTGTGACTCCACTCAAGGCCTCTTTTATCCAGTTAATGATGTTTCAACAATGATGTTTACGTTGCGCTTTTGCCAGTTTCGCAATATCCTTTATTTGATACAGTAATGTTATTCTGAGTGCCTTGTTTATATTCTTAACGCCATTTACACTTATCTACTCTATCGATACTGTGTATCTAATTATTCTCTACATAAACAATCTTTTTAAATTACTTATTAATTTTACTATTTTCTTTCAACTCTTCAGTTTCGAATCAGTACTGATCGGGTTATATTAGATTGTTTTTATAAGAGACACCATAAAATTTTGCATGCAAGGATACAGATAGCGCCTCTAACAAGGTTCACCTGATTGCTGCTTTCAATTCCATCAAACCACTCCATTTCAAACTGTCAATATGAGCAGTTGTTTCCCAAACAAAGTCGCAATTGTGATTCCAAAAGATATACTGGCCAAACACTGCCTGTGCCGAACATTGAAAGGAGGCATTGCTGTTCAGGCAAGCTTTAAGGAAACTGTTTCCATCAGTGTCACAATCCTCACTTCCTATAACAAAATACCTTGCTTTGTTGATACTTAGGTAGGTATGCAACACTTCGGTTGAATGCACTTTTTTATTGCTGGCGACTGGTAATGGCTTCAGCTGAACACTGATTCTCGCATGAACAAAGACCACCGACCCATAGCCAATACAGTGCTGATTTAAATTAACCGGACAAAACGAACAAAACTTGAATTTTTAAACGCGTATTTCTCAAAGTTAAGATAAGACAAGTAGTGAAAAGAACAAAAGTTGCTTAGAGTTTCACCAGAAGTACTATGGAGCAACTTTTTCTCCAAAACTCTCAGCCAACATTCTTCCCGAAAAATGGGTCCATTTTCGCTTTTTTCAATTTATCAAGAACTACGCTGCAAATGCATTGTTAATAGATAAGAAATCTATATCACAAGAAGCGTTTTACACATCCCAACAAAGATTTGGAATGATTAAAGTTCCAAAAATCTGTAAAAGGGAAAGTATTCTAAGTTGATAGTCAAGAAATGTATTTTTACTATATAAATTCCAAAATTTTTGCTTAAAAACAAAATTCAAACAATTTGCGCACATTTTTTGGAGATTTAATTTTCCAGAACTTTGTTGGGATGTGTAAGAGGCTTTTTGCGATGTAACTTTCTCATCTATTAACAAATTAGTTGCAGGGTAATTCTAGGTAATTAAAAAAAGCCAAAATGACCAATTTTTAAGTTAAAATGTTGGCTGAGAATTTCGGAGAAGAAATTGCACTATAGTATTTCTGGTGACATTCTAAGCAACTTTTGTTCTCTACAATTTTTGTCGAAACTTAACGCAATTTGAGGAAAACGCCTTTGAAATTTCAAGTTTTTGTCCTTTTTTCCGGATAATTTAAATCAGCGTTGTAAATACCAAATTTGAGGGGAAAGCGAAAGGAAACAAAGTTTTCCAAAAGATGCAAAATCTCTTTTTTGGCCTGTTTTTTCAAGATTTTGCCTGCAGCAAAGAAACTTTGGTCAAAATAAGGTCTTTATTGTGATTTGCCAGAGCTCGACAAATCAATTTGGTCCACGTAATTAAAGGGTCGATAAAATTTTGCCTAGTTTTTTTTTATTCATTTTTTGTACTATAATTTTTCCAGTTGTTCAATACTAAAGTTAATGAAGTCTGATTTTCCCTAATACTGATTTTCCTGTATCTCAACATGCAGCCTTTGGCCCAAACCATGTGAAGCCGATAGCCTGTCACCCAAAACATCTAATGAATTAAATATATCAACAATTACTAATTAAGTTGTTTTTGCTTGATTGTTACTATGATATAAGTAGTTCTTCTGTAGGAAACAAACTAGCCGTGTGATGTTTCTGTTAGTTAAACCTAAATAAAAACTGGTTAATTGCTCCCTTAATTTATTAAGATTGCCTTCTATCTTGTTTTTGTCAAACTTTTCGATTTCATTGATTCTGATTTCCGAGTTAATTTGTTATTCGTAATTTTCGCAGAAAGAAAAACACTTTTTAAATTTTTTTTATAGTATTTGGCAGATACTGATATTCTTAGTTCAAAAAGGTTATCTATTTTCTGAGATTTTAGTTCGCGAAACAATGGTGCTTTGAAAATTGTCCAATGGCCCAGGTTGACTTCCATGGGTTGAAAATGTCATACAATTCCATAAACTAAGTCTATGAAAAAACATTAATCATAAAAAATTTATACATTATGCTAAAAAGAAGTCATCGAACTTTCAAAGAAAGTTGTCTTGTATTGTCATAAATAAAAAGAAAATTTTGTCAACAACAAATGCTAGTCATAGATTTTCTTTTAGGGAAATTCTATGACTAGCATTCTTTTGATGGCGGCAGCAAAAACTCATGTAGTATCGAGGTTTCCTCAAAATAAACTTTTTTTTATAATGGCAACACGAATTTGGTATTCAAATGAACATTTAGAAAAAAAATAGCTTCCAAAACTTAGTTTTTTGTGTTTATAATGTAGTCCTAGATACACAAGAGTTGATTTTTTTTTCCTTTCTCAGGAACACTTATTTCAAAAACGCTGAAAATGCCAATTTATTTCGAAAAGGCATGTCTGTGTATTCATTGATCAATTCATGATTAATTAAAAACTCAAATGTTAACAAAAATCACATTTGATCATTTCTGCAACATTCAAAAATTTTAAATGTTTATTATAAAATTTTTCTAAGACAAACCTAAGACAACTCAGGCCATTTCCGATGCATTGTAGTTTGTAGTTGCGAAAAGGCCAAATCTTTGCTGACTCTAATTTTGAGTATCCAAGGTTTTTGCCACTTGAGTTCGATTACGAACGCAACCCAAACACTTCGAGAAATTAAACTTGAAAAAATCAAACTTTTTGGTTTGAGGAAAAATGTTAGTCATACGGTTTCCATATATAAAAATGCCTAAAAATATACCCTTTATGCAATTTTCTGTACTTATGGAATTACAGTAAAAGTGTATGATTAGCGTTTTTCAGTATATGAAAAATGTCCGATAAGCTTTTATGATCAATGCGAGAGTCCCATCAGACCCAAATTCTTAATTCTCCGTTTGGGCTCGTTACGATCCCTGGTACACTGTATGCTTTTTCTACTCTTTGCAAGACCTGCAAATTATTAAAAAGGTCTATCTCACGCTGTTCAGTGCTAACTCAGCTTAGTATTTGACGCGTGGTAATACTGATGGGTGGGTAGGTGGTAGTAACTGTTTTTGTGCCTGTGCAACTCTGATTTTCAAAGCACTGTTTGCGTAGGTTTATCATAGAAAAACCATGCTTAAAGTAATCATCTCACTTTTTGCGTAAATGCATAGCTTTTTAGAAAAGTTTTAGGGTGAGTTAGCCGAAAATGGATGTCTCAAAAAAGTAAAAATGTGGGACCCTTTTGGTCGGCAGGGCGTCGAATCCTTGAGGAGGAGCGTCCGCCGCCACCTCCCCTAATTCCTGAACTGGTATGGAAGTTAAACTTTTGTGGAGTTTTTGAAATTAAATAAGTCTTTTACCCACAGATACAAAAAAGACTAGCTGCACGTTTTTTTGACAATTAGCATAGCTTAAACTGTATCTAGAAGTTCTCACAAAAATAAAAAATTTATTGTCTAATAATTACTGAATATTTGGTCAAAATTTTTTAAAAATTTTTCACTAATTCGGTCGATTAGTTTTTTTTCATAATTTCCTTTAAACATTCCCACAAATCATAAACCTCGTGGAATCAGATCTACATTAGAACTTATTATGGGATTTTCTTCTGATGTTTTATCTCAACAAAATATTGAATACTAACCAATCATACTCCATCAAACTAACAACCCACTTATTTGTAAGTGCTGAAACTACTTGTAGTTTCAGCACCAGAGCAATTTGGATTAAACTTAGAATACAGTTGTTCTGATTCTGGAAACTAATCGCATAAACCGGTGTACACTAGATCTACTGAGACTAGGAGATATAAGAGTAAGATTAAGGCTGGTATTAGATTAAGAAGTTGCACGAATCTATCCGGCCAAAAATAAGATAGCGTGACGAGCAGACGGCGTACCTTATCTGAAATTACTCTATGAGTATAATCAAAAGGTCATAACTCACTCGTATAACTTTACGAACCTGTAGTGAAATGCGCTGGCAGGAAAGAGCCATCCATTGTTGCTTGCTTAATGTTGATTTTCATTGGTGTTTTAACTGAACAATGGGTAGTCTTGAGAGTGAAGTCCGGAATACTCGTTTCCATTGTGTTGAAGTCACTTTCAGTCACCTTCAGATTTAAAAATTAATATCATGACGAATTACTTACATCAGACTGATAAAGTTACTGGCGGTATAGCGAACTCACTGGAATGTTTGAAGCCCCTGTCTGATTAAGCTGACTCTGGAAAATCAAGTTCACCTGAGTCATCACCAAAGCCCTGGTGTTTTCATCTCCTGCATTGAACTCGTCGATTTGTTCCTGAGAAAGTACAATCTCGCTAGTTGATTCAGTACCAAGACTTGCATAGCTTTTAGTTATTTGCAGAAAAACGAACGCAGTGTTCAGAATTGAAATCAACTTGAACATAGCGAATGAAAAAAGGTGAAATTATCAGTTTTTGAGAGAAAACTTCAAAATTGATTTTTTTCCCAAATTGGGCGAAAATCGAAGCGATCTGAAATTGGTACTCTCGAAAAGAGCAATTATATTTCAGCAAAGAAAAGGCGTCGAATGTTCAGTATATCAAGTCTCGACTGCAATGGGCAAAAAGTAAATATTGTTATTGACAGATTAACGAAAACTATCCGAAAATAAAACAAAACTTGTATTCTCGACTTATGCATGACCTTACAAATCGGGAGTTTCCATTTACTTGAAATTTTAACAGTTTGCAGAGTAAACAATATCCAGGAATTGGTTGCGCAAGGCTTCAATGAAACCAAACAAAATCGAACCACGAGTCAAACAACTCCAATCTTGAGTCAAACTGGGTCGAACAATGGCTGTCCAACGGGGTGTAAAAAACAAACAATGCCACAAAGGTGAATTGAATTAGAATAAAGCCAAATTATGAGGCTTTCAAGGCCGAATCATGTGTCGAAAATGATCAAAACAAGAAGCGACACGGTAACTTTTTTAAATATAAAAAAAAACTGCTTTTTTGAAAAGTTAGCGACACCTCTAACTAACCGATTATTTCTGCCAGAGTGTCACATTGAGCCTCAACCAATATCAAGGAAATGCTTAACTCAACTCAAGGTCTAATAGTCAATGGAACCCTTTCAAATTTGGAAATGCTGCGACTACGGCAATTTTTTAGATGCGATAATTTTTCTATTGTTCTGATGGTGGTAAGTGGATAACAAGAGAGCAATTATGCAATGTCTTACAATTTTTGTGATATATGATTCAATAATCGTTTCACTGGTTCTTTCTTCTAGTGAAACTTATAATTTTGTTATGATCAAAGCTCATCAAAATAGTTGCCCTGAATAACATGAAAGGAAATTTAAACTAACGTTAACCCGTTTTTCATCAAAACAGTTGCCCCTCAGCACATAAACTGAAAACGAAACTTATGTGTACTCTTTTTACGTGATTGTTATATTCTACGAGGGAAGTTGAAGAAAATGCCCTGCAACACAAAAAAAAACATCATCAAAGTAGTTGATTCTTAGCAAATAATGCAAAAGCAAACATATGTGCACCCGTTTTACGTAAAAAATGAACAAAACCGAGAGTTTTTGAGTTGAAAAAACCAAAATCAATTGCTCTGCAACACAAAAAAAATCATCAAAAAATATTTTCTTCAGCACATAAACTGAAAACGAAACTTATGTGTGCTCTTTTTACGTGATGGTTGGACAGGGCCAAACATATTCTAATAGGGGAAAATTGAAGACAATGCCCTGCAACACAAAAAAAATCATCAAAACAGTTGCCCTGCAGCACATAAATTGAGCAGGAAACATATGTGTACTCGATCTAGGTATTTGAACAAAGGCGAGCAATAGCAAATTCGAGCCAGGTAAGCTGAAACTAGTTGCCCTGCAACACAAAAAAAGTCGTCTAAACAGGTGCCTTGCAGCACATAAACTGAAAAGGAAATTTATGTGCACGCGTTTTACGTGATATTTGACCAAAAGCGAGCAAATTCGAGCCAGAAAGCTGAAATTAGTTGCCCTGCAACACAAAAAATTTCAGCACATAAATTTAAAATATATTTTATATTACTCCTTTTAAGTGATAGTTGATTAGAGCTTAGCAAGTTCGATTCGGAAAAACTGAAGAATTTACTGCAACACATAATTTGAAAAGTAAACCTGTGTATGCTTGTTTTACGTAACAATTGAAAGGAACCGAGTGAATTCGAGTCGGAAATGCTGACAATTGTTGATCTGACTCACAAAAAAAATCAACAAATTAGTTGAACTTCAGGACATACAATGATCGTTTTATGTAATAGCTGAACAAAACCGAGCCTATTTGTGCTGGAAATCTGAAAATAAAAGACCTGCAACACCAAAAATTTCATCAAAACAGTAACTCTTCAGCACATAAACCGAAAATGAAAAATATGGTTACCCGTTTTAGGTGGTAGTTGAACAAAGCCTAGCATGTTCGAATAAGGAAAGTGGAAAAAACTGCCCTCCAGTATAAATTTTTTCATCAAATTAGTAGCCCTGCAGCACATATCTCGAATTTTTTTGTACTGAAAAAATGTGCAAATTTAAGTAGAAAAGCTGAAGGTAATTGCTCTGCAACACAAAAGAAATTAATGAAAATAGTTCCTTTTCAGCACATATATTAAAACAGAAACTTATGTGCACTCGTTTTACGCGATAGTTGAACAGACACTAGCATGTTCGAGTCGGAAAAGTGAGCAAAAATTGAAATTAGTTGCACAACAAATTTTTTCTTGAAAGTAGTTGCCTTGCCTTGCAGCACATATATTGAATCTTTTGTGTACTGAAAGAGTTTGAAGCTACAACTCGGCCAAATAAAATAATTAAATTTGGGTCGGGAAAACTGAAATAAGTTGCACAAAAAAATTTCATCAAAATAGTTCCTCTTAAGCACATCAATTGAGAAGGAAACTTATCTGCGTTCGCCTTAAGTGATAGCTGAAGAGCGCCTAGCATGTTCGAGTCAAGAAAATTAAAAAAAAGTCTTCAATACAAAATTAATAAAAGAAAATAGTTGATCTTAAGCACACGAAATAAAAAAGAACCTTATGCGCATTCGCTTCAAGCGATAGTTGAACAAAGTCCAGTATGTTTGAGCCGAGAAACCTGATAACGAATGCCCTGCAACACGAAAAAACTCATCAAAAATAGTTGATCCTCAGCACATATATGGAAATATGTGCACTCGGTTCACGTGATGGTTTCACAGAACCAAGCGATTTTGAGACTGGAAAGCTGAAAACATTTTCTCTGCAACACAAAAATGTTCATGAAAGTAGTTGTCTTCAGCTCATACACTGAAAAATTTTTTATGTGTACTCGTTTTAGGTGATAGTTAAACAGATCGTAGCCTGTTCGAGCCGGGAAAGCTTAAAATATTGCCCTGCAACACCTAAAAATGCCTTGTAGCACATAACTTGAAAAAGAGACTATGTATAATTGTTTTACGTGATAATTGAAAAAAAAAAATGAGTGTATTTGAGTCGGAAACGCAAAAAATTGTTGCCATGACATACAAAAAGTTTCAACAAAACAGTTGAACATCAGGACCTAAAATGAAGATCAATTCGGAATGCACTCGTTTTATGTAATAGTTGAGCAGAACCGAGCTTGTTCGTAGTTGAACAGTGCCTTGCAAGTTCGAGTCGGGAAAGCTGAAAAACTTTAACCAGCGGCACAAAAGTTTCCATCAAAACAGTTGACCTGCCATTAAAATGCAAAGAACTTTTACTCGTTTTACCTAACAGTTGACCAGAACCGGACACATTCGAGCGGAAAAACTGAAAATAATTGCCCTTCAACGAAACAGTTAGTCTAAAAAACCAGAAACATAAAAACCAGAAAAATCTTATGTGTACTCGTTTACCTGGTAGTTGAACTAGTTAAACAAAATTGAGGGAAAATGAAAAAATTTGCCCAGCAACACAAAAATTTTCATTAAAACAGTTTTTCTTCGGCACAAAAACTTAAGAAGAAAGCTAAGTGTCCACATTTTGTCTGATAGTTGAACAGATTTTAGCATGTTCGATTCGGGAAAGCTGAAAGACTTGCCAGCCACATAAAAGATCCATCAAAACAGTTCGTCTTGAGCACATGAATCGAAAATAAAGTTTATTTGTACTCGTTTTACGTGATAGTTGAACGGAGCCAAGCATGTTCGTATCTCAAAAAAGATGAAAATGCTCGCCCTGCATTGCGAAATTTTTCATCAATAATTGCCCTGTAGCGCATATATTGAGACTTTTGTGTATTGATCGAGTACAAAACTCAACTGGGCCAACAAGATGAGCAAATTTTGAGAAAATTGAAAAAAATTGCCCCGCAAAACAAAGATTCATCAGAGCAGTTGCCCTGCAATCGATGAGGTGCTCAGAAAACTTAAGTTAAATTTTCCTATGAATTATTTTAGAAAAATAAAACATAATCGAACAATGAAAGCTGAAAAAGTTTGAGCTGCAACACAAAAAAGTCATCAAAGAGTTATCCTGCAGCATATAATCTAAAAATAAAACCTATCTCTACTTGTTTGACATAATATTTTAAGATAACCAAGCGTATTTGAGCCGGTAAAATCGAAATTTATCGACCTGCAAGACAAAAAAATCACCATAGCTGTTGCCCTGCAACAGTTGAGTGCTAATGAATTTCAACCTAACTCATGTTAAAAAATTTAAAAAAGAATCGAGAACATTTGAACCGGGAAAGCTGAAAATGTTTGCCTAAAACAAACAAAAATCATCAAAAGAGTTGCCCTGCAACAGATGAGGTGCAAAATAAACTTATGTTAAGACATGTTATGTAATAATATAAGACTAACCAGCAAATACGAGTAGGGAAAGCTCAAAAAAGTTGCCCTACTACACAAAATATTTATCAAATTAGTTGTTCTTCAAAAATTTAAATTGAAAAAAACTGAAAAAAATTTAAGTGTTTTCGTTTTACATGATAATTGAACTGAGCCTAGCAACCAGCAACCGCTGAAGAAATAAATATTTCATCAAAACAAATGACTTGCAGCACACAAAGGGAAAAGGAATTTTATGTGCAACTGTTTTACCTAACAGTTGACAAGAACCAAGCATATTCGAGCGGGAAAGCTGAAATGAATTGCCCTACAAAACAAAAAGTTTCATCAAAACAATTAGTCTTTAGCACATAAAATTCAAAAAAAACTTATTTGTTCTGGTTTTACTGGTAGTTGAACAAAACCGAGATTATTCGAGCGGGAATAGGAGAAAAAATCTTTAAAAAGAACTACTTCAGCGCATAAATTGAAAAAGAAAAATGTTTACTTATTTTCTGTCATAGTTGAACAAAAAATAATATATTCCAAACAGGAAAGCTGAAAAATTTTGCCCTGCAACACAAAAAATTCTATCAAATAACTGATTTTCAGCGCATAAATGAAAAAAATTTGTGTACTTCTTCGTTTTACGTGATAGTTGAACAGAGCTTAGCGTTTTTGAAACGGGGAAAACTGAAAAAATTGCATCAAATAAATTGAGAAGGAATTTTTTTGCGTTTTTGTTTCAGCAAATACCTGAACTGAGCAGATTCGAGCGGTAAAGCTGAAAAAAATTGCCTCGCAAAACACAAAATTAATCAAATTAGTTTATCTTCAGCACATAAATTGAAGAAGAACCTTAAGTGCACTCACTACGCGTAATATTTGCGCAGAGCAGAGGAAATTTGAGTAAGAAAAAAGGTGCAAAAGTTTGCTCTGTAATTCAAAAAAGTTCCTTTCCAGCACATAAAAAAATTTAGGAAATTTAATCGTACTCTATTTAGGTAAAAGTTGAACAGAATCTAGCATGATCGAGTCGGTAAAGTTGCAAAATTAACCCCTGCAAAAAAATTCATCAAAACAGTTGACCTGAAGCACATAAAGAAAAAATATATGTGTACTCGTTTTAACTAATGTTTGAACAAAACCGAATACATTCGAGCAAAAAAGCAGAAAATAATTGCCCCGCATCACAAAAAAAAT